TTGAAAATTATTTGTTTTTGCTCAACTAGTGAATACTTACTAATATACTGTGAGATGTTGATTGCAGTTATTCTATATCACCACACGGGGACACTATAGACCATGACATGTAGAAAACTGTTTGAGCTTTAAGTGCGCACAAGACTCCTCCCAGAAATTGACGAGGGTGATTGTGTTTCTCTGTGCTTTGTTACAAAGAGACCCAAGCGAGAGAGAGAGAGATGGATGAGACTCCTTATCCGACGGGCTTTTAATGAAAGTTGTTGACGGGAGTAGGTGGACTGGCATTTATGGATATTTTTTGTTGGACATAATTATGCATTTCTCAAGCAGAAGGAACATTTTCGGGATTTACATTGTCACCGTGCTGCTGATTTTTTGCTGGGAAGCGGTGTCTGGGCAGCTCTCGTATTCCATCTTAGAGGAGGTAAACCCGGGGACGTCTGTTGGAAATCTCGCCAAGGACCTAAACCTCAACGTGCAGGAGATAGAGTCTCGTATGTTTCAGATCGTTCATGGATCGAAGAAAAAATATTTCGACGTGAATCGAAAAACAGGTTTTCTTTACGTCAATGAGAGAATAGACCGCGAGGAGCTTTGTGCGAAGGCTACAAAATGCACCGTCAATGTAGAGGCCGTGATCAACAATCCACTGAAGCTGTATCGTTTGGAGATAAATGTGCTCGATATAAATGATAATGCGCCACATTTCTCGGAGAAGTCTCAGTCACTTAACATTGCAGAAAGCACTTTACCAGGGCTGAAATTTGGACTGATAGAGGCATCGGATTTGGATGTCGGTAAGAACGGTTTAAACACGTACAAGCTCAGCAATAATGATTATTTTTCTTTGGAGATTCACAAAGGAGGGGAGAGCGTGTCTGCAGAGTTAGTGCTGCAGAAAGCGTTAGACCGCGAGCATGATTCTGTTATAAAACTCACACTGACTGCTGTAGACGGAGGAACCCCACCGAAGTCAGGAACATCACAAATAATTATCACCGTTTTAGATATTAACGACAATATTCCCATATTCAGTAAATCTTTATACAAAATTCAAATCCATGAAAATCTGCCACCAGGGTCTAAAGTGATCGTTCTGAATGCAACAGACGCAGATGAGGGTGTAAATGGTGAAGTAGAATATTCGTTGAGGAAAAAAGGTCAGGATCAGGTTCTAGGTGTATTTCAAATAGACAGTAACACCGGTGTGATTTCAGTCAAAGGAAAGATCGACTATGAGCAACATCCTGCGTTTGAGATTCATGCACAGGCCAGTGACAAAGGCCAGCCCCCGATGTCTGCTCATTGTAAAGTGCTGGTAGAAGTGGTGGATCTCAATGACAACGCTCCTGAGATCACTGTGACGCCATTAATAGACACGGTGAAGGAGGACGCTGAAGTAGGTACTGCTATTGCACTTGTTTCTGTCCTGGATAAAGATGGTGGGAAAAACGGGGCAGTTAAAGCTGTAATTTCAAACAATGTCCCCTTTAAACTGGAAACCAATTATAAAAATTATTATTCTTTAGTTGTTAGTGATCCGATTGACAGAGAAACTCAGGCTCACTACAATGTTACTATCATAGCAACTGATGAAGGGACTCCACCTCTCTCCAGCACCAACATCGTTATTGTTCATGTTTCTGATGTTAATGATAACCCACCTCGCTTCTCAGAGCCACTGATTAATGTTTATGTGAAAGAGAACAGTCCAATAGGAGCAATTATCAAGACTGTGACTGCAACTGATATTGATATTAATCAAAATGGCCAAGTGAGCTATTCATTTTTAAAAAGTAACAGTGACACATTACCATTATCTTCAATGGTGAACATCAACTCAGAGACAGGAGATATAATCAGTCTGCAGTCGTTTAACTTCGAGGAGTTAAAAACGTTTCAGTTTAAAGTTCAGGCCACAGACTCTGGTGTTCCTCCRCTCAGCAGCAACGTGACTGTGAACGTTTTTATCCTGGATGAGAATGACAACAGTCCTGCGGTTCTGTCTCCATATTCTGAGCACGGCTCCGTTAACAGTGAGAGCATCCCCTATTCTGCTGAAGCGGGATACTTTGTGGCAAAGATCAGGGCTGTAGACGCAGACTCTGGATACAACGCGCTGCTTTCTTATCACCTCTCTGAGCCCAAAGGAAACAACCTCTTCCGGATCGGAACCAGCACCGGGGAAATCAGGACTAAGAGGAGAATGAGTGACAATGACCTGAAAACTCACCCCTTGGTGGTGCTGGTTTCTGATAACGGAGAACCCTCCCTGTCAGCTACTGTGTCTATAGATGTGGTGGTGGTTGAGAGCACAGCTGACATCCAGACTCAGTTCAGACAYGTGCCCACAAAGGACGATGGCTTCTCTGATTTAAACCTKTATCTGCTGATCGGCATCGTGTCGGTGTCAGTCATCTTTCTGCTGAGCCTCATCACTTTAATAGCTGTGAAATGCCACAGGACAGACAACAGTTTCAGCAGGTACAGCGCCCCAATGATCACCACCCACCCTGACGGGAGCTGGTCTTACTCTAAAGCTACTCAGCAGTATGACGTCTGCTTCAGCTCAGACACGCTCAAGAGTGACGTAGTGGTTTTCCCCGGACCGTTTCCGCCTGCAGATGCGGAACTGATCAGTATAAACGGAGGAGACACGTATAACAGGACTCAGACTTTACCGAACAAAGAGAAGGTAAGACAAAAGTTGGAAAAAATATTACTGCTGAACTTTTTATTCAAGAGAATCASTTATATGTAACTGTTTTACAAACCTTGTTCTAAAATAATGGGGGGACTATGTTGCTTTGAAAAACGACGTTTAGTAAATATGAATGCTCAATTACACTTAAGGTGGAATACACACAAAGTACAAGAAGTCAAGTCTCTTTCTTTTATGAAATCTACAATGACAAATTACAGAGTTGCCTCAGGGGGCTTCACAATCTGTACAGGAAGCTTTGTCTCAACCTTTACAGCCTCAAAAATCCACAGGGAAAATTACTTTGAATGGAGGCTGAAAAAAACTACAAGACGAGGAACGTGTTAGGGATCCCTCAGGACAAGTACTCAAGGTTACTGTCTGTACTTTTGTAGTTTAATATTGCAACCGTGTCTTCCTTTTTATTTGTTGGTGATATTTAAACTTCTGAATTTTTTGCGGATGATAATTTTGTCTATGTGTCGCTGTCTGTGGTGCTGAACGCAACTCAAAAGGCTCACTGGAACAGTTCWGTCGTGAAATATAATTATTATTAAACAAACCATCTTGTTTACTCTTTGACATTTTTTATTTTTGCACTTGTTCCATGTATAAGGAGATCTGAGGACGTTTATTTATTCACAGYGTTGTGAGATTTGATCTATGTGCACTTTAGAAAAATGTCCACATGGAGACACTGTAGACCATCACATTTAGACAYGCTCTTTAATGTTTTAGGGCTCCGCCCAAATTCAGCGAATGATACGGGCTTTGTTACAAAGAGAGGTCGGACGACAAAGAACGGTTGTGTCTTCTGGTSGAGAAAATGCTGACATATTTGTTTGGATTATTTMTTCACTGGTCGTGATATCRTAGTTTCTGGAACGTATTATTCAGATTCGCCTGCATGCTCCTTCTCGACCTGAGGAATTATGCATTTACCGAGCARAAYGGGCTCTGTGTGGATATATCTGCTSTTCGTGCTGCTGGATTGTTACTGGGAGCCGGTTTCCGGGCAGCTCTCTTACTCCGTCTCAGAGGAGGTAAATGTGGGGACTGCCGTCGGGAATATCGCKAARGATYTGAACATCAACGTCCAGGATTTGGAGTCYCGCATGTTTCAGATCGTTTCGGGATCGAAGAGAAAATATTTCGAGGTAAATCTAAAGACTGGTGTCCTCTACGTTAATGAGAGAATAGATCGAGAGGAACTCTGCGGCGACGAAGCTAAATGTTCACTCAGTGTAGAAGCWGTTATTAATAACCCGTTAAAACTTTACCGCATTGAAGTTACAATCTTAGATGTAAATGATAATTCACCATCATTTCTCGGATCGTCACAAATAATAGACATTACGGAGAGCACAGCAGCAGGAGCTAAATTCCCTCTTAATACTGCTGAGGATGCGGACGTCGGTAAAAACACAGTAAATACGTACAAGCTTAGTCAGAATGAACATTTCTCTCTATATACACATAAAGGAGACAGTGTATCTCCTGAATTAGTGCTTCAGAGAGTTTTAGATCGAGAAAAACAGTCTGTGATTCGACTCACGCTGACTGCGATTGATGGAGGAACTCCTGCTAAGTCAGGAACGATGGTCATTACAATAAATGTATTGGATAGTAATGATAACGCTCCGGTATTCAGTCAAACTCTATATAAAGCCAAAGTGTTTGAAAATGTTAAGATAGGAACATCCATAATAACATTAAATGCTACTGATTTGGATGTAGGTCCAAATGGACAAGTATTATATTCATTCAGTAAAGCAGGACAAGGAAAACACACGGATCTATTTTCTATCGATGAAAAAACAGGGACTGTAACAAATAAAAAGAACATCGACTTTGAGGAGAACAACGCTTTTGAGATAAGAGTTCAGGCAAGTGATGGAGCTTCTTCTCCTCTCACTTCACATGCAAAATTATTGATTGAAGTCTTAGACGTTAATGACAATGCTCCTGAAATGTCTGTGACGTCACTGTTAAACACCGTGAAAGAGGACGCGTCCATCGGCAC